CCTTCATTTTATTATTATTCTTATTTATTATATAGCAATTTTAGGGAATTCCCTCTCGGTCCAGTGGTTAGGACTCCACGTTTTCACTGCCAAGGGCCTGGGTTCAATCCCTGGTTGGGGAACTAACATCCCAAAACCTACACCACACCACCAAAAACAAAAAAAAATTGTTACTATACCTTAATTATATTTAAGACCCAACTTAGCTTAAACCATTTTCTTTAAATGCTCTCTAAGGGAAAATGGGAAATAGCCTCTGTTGATTGGAGGGCCTGTGATGTTCCAGCCACTCCTTTGATTCTAAGAAATCAATTTAAATTAATATGGGGTAGAGGTCCTTTAATGTTCGAACACAGAAAATTGAATGAGATTGATCTCATGCATTAGGTAACAATATAATCCCAAGTGAAAGGCTAAGTCTTTAACTCATTTTCTAACAAAGATTCTATTTTTATATTGTAGCACCTTCTATAGGGAAATCTGAATTTACCAGAGAGATCAATTCATAGATATTCATATTTTAAAGAATCATCAAGTATATAATTAAAGAAACAACTCCCCTCTTGGGGAAAATACATATATATATATATATACACACACACACACACACACATATATATAAGAAATTATACACTTAACACTGGAGAAACAAAACTAAAAAGTAGAAACCATTACCAAATGATTACTAAAATTAAGACTACTTTTAAGATCAAGAGACTATGGTTTAACTAAAATGGTGGTAGGTGGGTGTTGCGAAGTCATATCTGACCCTTTGTGACCTCAAGGACTGTAGCCCACCAGGCTCTGTCTGTGGGATTCCCAGGGAAGAATACTGAAGTGGATTGCAATTTCCTTCTCCAGGGGATCTTCCTGTACCAGGGATTGAACTAGCATTCCTACATTAGCAGGCAGATTCTTTACCACCGAGCCACCAAGGAAACTCTTAACTAAAATATAACTCTTTAAAATGATGTCAATAACCAAACTTATAGACCCTTAGTCTTTAAATTGTCAAAAAATTCATTTACAAGTTGCTTCAAATTGCTTAAAACACTCATTTAATAAGTTTCTAATTACTTTTTCACAAATAGAAGGTAAAATTATTCTAAAGCTAATGAGTCCAAACTCAATATCCATAGATACACAAAACAAATGTCTATAACCTGTGTTGTACTAATAGTCTCCATACAAAGAAGATACTAAAAGAGAATTCCCTGGCAGTCCAGTGGTTAGGAATCTGTGTTTTACTGCTGATGACCGAAGTTCAATCTTTGGTTGGAGAACTAAGATACCACAAGCCATGCAGTGTGGCCCAAAAACAAAGATATTAAACCCCACTATTCTCTTTGCTTTTGTATTGCTTTTTTTTCTTTTGTTCTGCAGTTCACTGTGACATGTCTGTGTATGAGTTTCTTTTTATTTATTCTACTTTGGAGTCACTGGAATTTCAATCTATAGATTAATGTCCTTTGCCTTCAAATAATACCCATACCCTACAAAATAACCAGAAAACTATTAACAAAATGGCAGTAAGTCTATACTTAACAATAATACCTTAAATGTAAATGGACTAAATTCTCCAATCAAAAGACACACAGTTAATAACAGATTTTTTAAAAACACCTAACTATATGCAACCTGTAAGAGACTCACTTGAGATTAAGGATGCACACTGACTAAAAGTGAAGGGATAGAAAATGATATTCCATGCAACTGTAAACCAAAACCAAGCTACGGGAGATATATACTGATGAACTTTGAACAACATGAGTGTCGGGGCACTGACCCTCCATGCAGTTGAAAAGCTGCACATAATCTACAGTCTGCATATAATATATAATTTATATGTACAATTCCTCCATATCCATGGCTCTTTCATATCTTCGGTTCCACATCAGTAAATTCAACCAACTGTAGTACTTGTAGTATTTGCTACTGGAAAATAATCCACATAAAAGTGGACCCATGCAATTTAAACTTGTATTGTTCAAGGGTTGACTGTACTTACATCAGACAAAATAGACTTCAGGACAAAGACTGTACTAAGAGACAAAGAAGGTCATTCAGTTCAGTTCAGTTCAGTCGCTCAGTCACGTCTTACTCTTTGTGACCCCATGAATCGCAGCATGCCAGGCCTCCCTGTCCATCACAAACTCCCAGAGTTTACTCAAACTCATGCCCATCGAGTAGGAAGAAGGTCATTATACAATGATAAATGAGTCAGCACAACAAGAGGGTATAACATTTGTAAATATTTGTGCACCCAACATAGCAGCACCCAAATACATAAAGCAAATATTAACAGATCTAAAGAGGGAAATAGATAGCAATACAATAATAGTAGGAGATTTTAATACTCAACTTTCATCAATAAACAGATCATTTAGACAGAAAATCAATAAGGAAACACCAGCCTTAAACAAGATACTATACCACATAGACTTAGCAGAGACTTGCAGAACATTCTGTTCAAACTCAACAGAATATACATTCTTCTCAAGCATACACAAAATGTTCTCCAGGATAGATCATATGTTAGGCCACAAACAAATCTTAATAAATTTAAGACTGAAATCATAGAAAGCATCTTTTCCAACCACTGTGGTTTAAAAGCAGAAAGCAATTACAAGAAGAAAACTATAAAATTCAAATATGTGGATATTAAACAACATGCTACTGTACAACCAATAAGTCAAAGAAGAAATCATAAAGTACCCTGAGACAAACAAAAATGGAAATACAATACATCAAAATTTGTGGGAAGCCGTAAAAGCAGTCCTAAGAGGGATATTCATAACAATGCTTACATTAAGAACAAGAAAGATATCAAATAAACAACTTAACTTTTCACTCAAGAAACTAGAAAAAAAGAATAACCAAAGCCTAAAATCATTAGAAGGAAGAAAATAACAAAGATTAGAGAGGAAATAACTGAAAGAGAGGCTGAAAAGAAAATTAAAAAGATAAATGAAACTAACAGCTAATTTTCTGAAAAGATAGACAAAATGCCTATGCCCTATTTTCTCTCACCACTTCTCCCAATTAATTCCAATTACCCATTTATTATAACATCACAGTGCTCTCCATATATCATAAGTTCCTGCCTATTTTCAATCTTTTTTCTTTCTATAGTGTACTCTAAATAATTACTTCTAGTCCCGTTTCACTAGAAATTCTCTTTTAATCATGTATAATTGGCTATCAAACCTATCTTTTGAATTTTCAATTTTAAATATTTCATTTTTATTCTGTAAATCCTATTTGGTATTTTTCCAAAGCCTACAATATCCCTTTTTGTAGTTTCTTATACCCCTGAGGTATTTTCAAGCTTGTCTTTTTTTAAACATAGTAAGTATGCCTAAATCTGTATCCAATGTATCTAGCTTTAGAGGTCTGCAGAGATCACTTTTTACTCTTCCTTCTTTCTCCTGGTCCTCAAATATGGTGCCTCGTTTCTTTAACGAGGTTAGCTTTAATTGCAGGTCCTTGAAAACTTACTTGAAGAGTTCTCAAAGCCTAGAAGAAAGATACTTTCCTCCACAAGAAAATTTGCAGTTGCTTCTGTTAAGTGCAACTTAATGGTAGAAAGTAATTGGTACCAACCTGGAACCAATTTAGACTCAATTCATGTGCTGTGCTGTACTTCTGTTGCTCAGTTGTGTCCAACTCCGTGCGACCACATGGACTGTAACCCACCAAGCTCCTCAGTCCATGGGGATTCTCCAGGCAAGAATACTGGAGTGGGTTGTCATGCCCTCCTCCAGGGGATCTTCCCAACACAGGGATTGAAGCCAGGTCTAGCACACTGCAGGCGGATTCTTTACCGACTGAGCCTAAGTCCAGACTCAATTCATAGCCTGATGTTTCTTTCAACACCCAGGTAAATGAGCATTTTGGCAGCAGTCCCACATGAAAATAGCCTTTGGTTTCTTAATTCTCAGTGAAAGGTTTTCTGGTTATTTTGTCCTCTTTTCTTCTCCCCTGCTCTGCTCACTGCCAAGGCAATTCTCCCTGTAATCTCCTGAAGGTGGGGAAAAGAGGATGTAGGGGAGGGGGGAAGTTTTACTTTGTGTTCACACTTACCTAAAAGGTTTACCCCTACAGAGTCCACCCAGTTAAATGTGGAGAGTGGGTATTAAACTTCTAATCTTCGGAGCACCTGAGCTTCGACTACTTTCCCCTTCATCCTAGGGGGCCACCAAAATGGAAGCTCAAGGCTTCCTGATCAAAGGCCTCTGAGGCAAAAACAACTTCTAATGCTGATCTTAATTTTCTAGCATACACCTGCAGTTCCTCTCCTGTTAGTTCTTCAGTGTCTTCAGGGTATCTTATTTCTATTCCATTCAAATACTTCAGTTGTGATCATTAGGAGAAATGATTTAAAAACCTGACTTCCCATTATGGAAAACAGAAGTCCCAGGAAAAAGAAAAAAAAATGAAAACAGAAGTCCCAAACTTTATTGACACTCTTCAGTCTGTTGAATGGAATTAATTTTTCAATGAATGAATAAAATTTGAATGTTTCAAATTAAATACACAGGTCCATCTCAGATTCAATCATCTAACCTGTCTGAACATAAGTTTCACAAAATAAAGGTGTTGAGCAAAATTAACTCTAAGATTCTTTACTGTCTAAATTACCAGGATCTTTGCACACATATGGTCCTCTCAGGTGGCACAGTAAGAATCCACCTGCCAATGCAGAAAACCCAGGAGATGAGGGTTCAATCTCTGGGTCAGGAAGATTCCCTGGAGGAGAAAGTGGCAAGCCACTCCAGTATTCTTGCCTGGAAAATTCCACGGACAAAGGAGCCTGACAGGCAGGTTACAATTCATGGGGTTGCAAAAACTTGGACACAACTGAGTGACTCAGCACATGTGCATACATACATATACAATCTCATTTTTCAGCTTTTGTGAGCTCTATTTATGGCAGTCAGAAGGACAAAGTTTTCTCATAGTGTTATAACAATTCCAAAACAAAAATAAATGAGACTCACGCTTAATGGAAGGGGTCCCTTTTCCATCTTCTCAAACCCAAGAGCCAAGACACAATCTGCCAGACCTTGAAAGAAAATGTAATTATCTTGAAAAATTAAATTTCTTGACTCGAACAAAATACCCTTAAACACTTCTATTTAAACAATTATGTTGATGTACACAAAATGTAAAAACATAGTGTAGTCCTATAAAATTTGCAATAAGTGAAAAATTACAGAGAAAATTCTTATACACCTCTAGATACGAGGAAAAATCAATAAAGTATATACTTCTTCCTTTGATTTTGAGTGTTAATAAAACTTTTTATTACTGTGGAAATATGTTCCAGTGAAGAACAAATACAAATAGCTAATTGTGAATTTTTAAACATTAAATAAAATTTTAAAAAATTTTAAAGAATCTTGATCAAAATCTCAACAGAACTATTTTTGGAAAGAGGGGGCATCTAAAAATGATGTTAAAGTTCAAATGAACAGCAAAACAAGCAGGACTGCCAAAATTTTTCTTTAAAAAAAGAAAAAAAATACCAAGGTAGGGGACACAAGGGCTACTAGTATCCAACAGTGAGACATTATAAAGCTCCAACAATTAAAACACCAAGTAGCAGAGTAATAATCAACAATCAGAAGAAAGAATAAAAGGCCTAATTAAGGAGCCTAGAACATTTGGAAATACAGACTATGATATATACCCAAGAGAACTGAAAACATATGGCCACAAAAAAGTTGTACATAAATGCTTATAGCAGGGTTATTCACAATAGCCAAAAAGTAGAAATAGCACAGTGTACATCAACTGATAAATGGGTAAACAAAATTTGGTATATTCATACAATGGATTACTATTTGGCCACAAAAAAGAATGCAGTACTGATACATGCTAAAACATGAACAAACTGTGAAAATATTCTGGTAAGTGAAAAAAGCCATAAAAGGTCATATAATATATGATTCCATTTATATAATGTTCAGAATATATAAATCCATAGAGACAGAAAGTAAATTAGTGGTTGCCAAGGGTTGTGGGGAGGGAGAAATGGGAAGTGACCGCTAATAGGTACAGCTCTCTTCTGCGGGTGATACAAATGTTCTAAGATTAAACAGTGCTGACAGTTGCATAAACCTGGGAACATACTAAAGACACTGAATTCTACACTTTTGTCCTATATAAAGTATATATCAATAAAATTTTTATTTAAAAAAAATACATTAAAAAGCAATCTCTCTGACGGTTGTATGGAGACATCATAAAAGAAAGGCAATAACCCCACATCTATTTAAGTACACTAGACAAATAGGCACTTCTCACCACCCTGAACCAGTTGCCGGGCCACAAACAAAGCAGTTGAGCCAGTAGAACAGTTATTGTTGACGTTGATTATAGGAATTCCAGTCAGTCCCAAACCATGATAGATAGCCCTCTGCCCACTGGTAGAGTCACCTACATAGAAAAAACATGAGAATTATGGAGCTGCAAAGCAATATAATACATTATATTTTTCTAGTATTATGCCTTTGTCTAACATAAAACATGGACATCTTACTCAGAAACAGTTTCAGCATGAAGCATCACTTATTCTGCAAATACAAGAATTCTCAAAACACAGTATATATATGCACTTTATTTACATAACACAGAGGTAGGAAAGTAGAGAAATGACCAAGTAATAGCAAACAACTCAATCTGGGTAGGGTTACATGATAAAGGAAGCAATATTTCATGTATATTATCAGACATAAATCTCTAGAGTATCAGGCAAATTTGGCCTTGGAGTACAGAATGAAGCAGGGCAAACGCTAATAGAGTTTTGCCAAGAGAATGCACTGGTCATAACACTGTCTTCCAAAAACACAAGAGAAGACTCTACACATGGACTTCACCAGCTGGTCATTACCGAAATCAGACTGATGATATTCTTTTGTCACCAAAGATGAAGAAGCTCTATACAGTAAGCAAAAACAAATCCAGGAGCTGACTACAGCTCAGATCATGAACTCCTTATTGCCAAATTCAGACTGAAATTGAAGAAAGTAGGAAAAAGCACTAGACTATACAGGTATGACCTAAATCAAATCCCTTATGATTACACAGTGGAAGTGACTAATAGATTCAAGGGATTAGATCTGATAGACAGAGTACATGAAGAACTATGGACAGAGGTTTGTTACATTGTACAGGAGACAGTGATCAAGACCATCCCCAAGAAAAAGAAATGCAAAAAGGCAAAATGGTTGCCTGAGGACGCCTTACAAATAGCTGTGAAAAGAGGAGAAGCAAAAGGCAAAGGAGAAAAGGAAAGATTAGACCCATTTGAATGCAGAGTTCCAAAAAATAGCAAGGAGAGATAAGAAAGCCTTCCTCAGTGATCAATGCAAAGAAATAGAGGAAAACAACAGAATGAGAAAGACAAGATATCTCTTGAAGAAAATTAGAGATACCAAGGGAACATTTCATGCAAAGATGGGCTCAATAAAGGACAGAAATACTAAGGACCTAACAGAAGCATATTATATTAAGAAGAGGTGGCAAGAATACACAGAAGAACTATACAAAAAAGATCTTCATGACCCAAATAATCATGATGGTATGATCACTCACCTAGAGCCAGACATCCTGGAATGTGAAGTCAAGTGGGCCTTAGAAAGCATCAGTACAAACAAAGCTAGTGGATGTGATGGAATTCCAGTTGAGCTATTTCAAATCCTAAAAGATGATGCTGTGAAAGTGCTGCACTCAATATGCCAGCAAACTTGGAAAACTCACAGTGGCCACAGGATTGGAAAAGGTCAGTTTTCATTCCAATCCCAAAGAAAGGCAATGCCAAAGAATGCTCACACTACTGCACATTGCACTCATCTCACACGCTAGCAAAGTAATGCACAAAATTCTCCAAGCCAGGCTTCAACAGTATATGAACCGTGAACTTCCAGATGCTTCAATCTGAATTTAGAAAAGGCAGAGGAACCAGAGATCAAATTGCCAACATCCGCTGGATCATCAAAAAAGCGAGAGTTCCAGAAAAAACATCTACTTCTGCTTTACTGATTATGCCAAAGTCTTTGACTGTGTGGATCACAACAAACTGTGGAAAATTCTGAAAGAGATGGGAATACCAGACCACCTGACCTGCCTCCTGAGAAATCTGTATGCAAGTCAAGTAACAACAGTTAGAACTGGACATGGAACAACAGATTGGTTCCAAATCGGGAAAGGAGTACGTCAAGGGTGTATGCTGTCATCCTGCTTATTTAATTTATATGCACAGTACATCACAAGAAATGCTGGGCTGGATGAAGCACAAGCTGGAATCAAGATTGCCAGGAGAAATACCCCAGATATGCAGATGACACCCTTATGGCAGAAAGCAAAGAGGAAGTAAAGAGCCTCTTGATGAAAGACAAAGAGGAGCATGAAAAAGCTGGCTTAAAATGCAACATTCAGAAAACTAAGATCATGGTATCTGGTCCCATCACTTCATGGCAAATAGATGGGGAAGCAATGGAAACAGTGACAGAGTTTATTTTCTTGGGCTCCTAAATCACTGCAGATGGTGACTGCAGCCATGAAATTAAAAGACGCTTGCTCCTTGGAAGAAATGTTATAACCAACCTAGACAGCATATTAAAAAGCACAGACATTACCTTGCCAGCAAAGGTCTATCTAGTCAAAGCTATGACTTTTCTGGTAGTCATGCATGGATGTAACAGTTGGACCATAAAGAAAGCTGAGCACTGAAGAATTGATGCTTTTGAACTGTGTTGTTGGAGAAGACTCTTGAGAGTCCCTTGGACTGCAAGGAGATCCAACCAGTCCATCCTAAAGGAAATCAGTCCTGAATATGCATTGGAAGGACTGATGCTGAAGCTGAAACTCTAATACTTTGGCCACCTGATGCGAAGAACTGACTCACTGGAAAAGACCCTGATGCTGGGAAAGATTGAAGGCGGGAGGAGAAGGGGATGACAGAGGATGAGATGGCTGGATGGCATCACCGACTCAATGGTCATGAGTTTGAGTAAACTCCGAGAGTTGGTGATGGACAGGGAAGCCTGGCATGCTGCAGCCCATGGTATCACAAAGAGTCGAACACAACTGAGCGACTAAATGGAACTGAATAAATCTGTTAAAACTAACTGATCAAAAGGCCTTGATTTTTCTCTTCATATCAAAATTTCAAAAAGTTAAAAGATTCTGCATGCCAGGGTATTCCAGAAAAATAATAATCCAAGTGGAATACGCATTTGATTCTTTTTCCCAAGTAACATGGCCATCAAGGCAGACAAGCTGGAGCAGCATGATGGAAACACCTGAAGATACAGATGCTCTAGAAGTCTTCAAGGAAAACAGCAAGATTCAGGACCTCCTATTCATAAATACACTGTGCATCTCTTTGAACTAGTAAATTTCCCTTTAAGAATTCTCTTGATACCTTGAAATCTCAAAAAAGTAATCACAGATACACATAAAGATCATCTACAGGAATGCTTACTATATTCTTTTATAACTAAATAATTTAAAATGTCAACAAATACGATATCATTTCTACTGCTAAATAAACTGTAGTATATCCTCAAGACTAGCATATCATGAAATAATTTAAAATGTGTAAAAAGCCTAAGAATATTCTAAATGGCTATTAAAAGAGGGTCGATTAGACAAATCATGATATATCTATTCAATGGAACACTATGCTATCATTAAAAGAGACCAAGGAAACTCTTTATGAAACAACTGGAATAGTCACGAAGAACTACTAAGTTAAAAAAAAAAAGTAAAATACAAAATAGTATGTATTTACGCTACCATGTGTCCAACAAAAGAAAAGGAGGGGTATTTATACACTTTCATACATTTACTTTTATATGCATAAATTATCTATGAAAAGGTAGATTAAAAATTAATGTACATGGCACTACTATACACAAAATAGGTAAGTAACAAGTATTTACTGTGTAACATAGGGAACAATATTCAACATCTATAATAACCTATAAAGTAAAATAATCTGAAAATATATATATGTAACTGAATCACCTTCCTGTACATGTCAAACTAACACAATATTTTAAATCAAATACACTTCAATTAAAAAAAAGAAGAAATGAGTGAAATCATCAGCAAAGGGAACCACAGACAAGGAGACAGGATTCAGAGTGAAACTTTCCACTATATAACCATCGACCTTTTTCTTGTATTTTTATACCATGTGAATATTTAATCTATTCCAGAAAAAAAAACTGAAAAATGTTAATAATGTGAAAGAAAACTGAACCACATGGGAAAAACTGGATACACAAAAATGAGAAAAACAGGTCACCAAAATGTATGTAACTAGGACCTAAATTTAAAAGGCAATTATGTGTATATACATAATTCATTCATAATGCATTCACATGCATTCATACTCACTGAAGGATTTACACCAAAAAATTAATGGTAATAACATATGGATAATGAGATTACAGGTAACTTATTTTTTTCTTGTGCTTTTACATGCAACATTTTTCTAATCAGAAAAAAAAGTTTTCTAATCAGAAAAAAATATATAAAAAACATTTTATTAGACACAAAAATCAATAAAAACAAATTTCAAGACAACAAAAAACAAAAATTTCTCATCTGAAAAATAATTTCTTTTTCATGGTAGTAATTTTTACATGAGTAATTTTTTCTTTTTTAAAGATAAGTGTTTTAAATTTGTCCTCTTTATTGGCAACACAATAATGGCAAAATATATGTGTATACTAAACCAGGCTGACACATAAGGAAATTCTAAAAATAATGAAAATAAGACCCTGAATTCTGAGTTTTGAGGGTTAAAATTCACAAATTCCTCTGAATTGTTTACGTAGTTGATGACAGACTTAGGTGAACAACTTTTAGAATATATAGTCTCCACGTACCATAAACATAGCCAATACATGCCTGCTCCACTGCAGAATAAGGGATCTGTGCATCCGCTAAAGCCTTCTGGCCTATAAAAACAAAAAAGTTTTATCACATAGCGCTTTAAGCGAGTAAAAATAAGTTTAGAGTTTTCCCAGAGTAAATCTAACTCTAGAGTGTTGTTGCTGTTTAGTCGCTCTCTAACTCTAGTTTGTTCAGTTGCGGTTTGTGTCCGACTCTCTGTGACCCCGTGAACTATAGCCTGCCAGGATCCTCCCAACACTTGTCTATGGGATTTTCCAGGCGATAATCTGGAGTGGCTTGCCATTTCCTCCTCCAGGGGATCTTCCCAACCCAGGGATCAATTCAAATGAAAATCCTTCATCAAATCATCTCAGCCTTTCAGAAGTTATCTTACCTTTCAAAAGTTATCATTTGGAGGGAGCTTCAAGAGGGAGGGTATATATGTATGCCTATGGCTGATTCATGTTGAGATTTGACAGAAAACAGCTAAATTCTGTAAAGCAATTATCCTTCAATAAAAAATAAATTAATTTTTTTAAAGTGATCATTTCTTCCTCTAAGCTATTGTAACACTTTTTCACACCACCTTTCTGATATTTAACATTTCCTATTCTAACTGTACACCTAACTATAAATGCATTAAACCCCAAGAGTCTTAAAGCCCCTTGATGGCAAGGTATCTTACTCGTGTCTGTCGCTCTATCACAAAATAGAGGGCAAAATAGGATAGAATGTCAGTGCTGAGGAGGGGAACTGTGGGAGCACTCATGGTCATCTTACAAAACCAGGATCAAGAGATGACTGTCTATGGAACAAGAAAAGAAGCTTCAAGGAAGCTACACAAAGGTGTAGAAATGACCACTGGAGGAATTGAGAAAAATTATGAAAATAAACTAAGAGGAGAGTGGAAGCTAGAGAAAACGTTGACCTAAATCCTCATCTACCATAGTGAAAAGCAAACAGGTATCAAAAACTGACAAATCAAAAATGAGAACAATTGCGGTGGAAAGAGTATTTAGAGATAGGGAGATAACCACCAGAACTAAAGCCAGGACAGTTAAAAGAAGTTGCCCCAGAAGAGGTCTGGGAAGTATAAACCATCTGTGTGTATGTGTGTTTGTGTGTGTGTGTGTGTTCTAACCAAATGAATGTATCACTTTAAAGATTTTTTAACTTAAGAGGATATATGTATGATTGACCATGGGATTGGTTTAGTCAGACCAGTTTTCTTTTCCTGTTTAATGTATGAGCAAAAAAAAAAGAGCAGTTTCATATGCTCCCAGTAAAACTAATAATGGTCAGAAAAATAATCTGACAGGACTGATAAAACTGTTTACATTCATTGCTCCAATGAGTCTACTTCTAGGCTTTGTCTTCAAAAATAACCAGTGATGAGAACAAATATGTGTGTTCAGCAAGATGTTCACTATAATTCTTCTAAAATATCAAAAAGCTGTAAAGCAAATATACAACAAAAATGACAGCATACTGTTATACAGACTGAAGTAAGTCAGAAAAACAAATATAGTGTATAAATGTGTATATATATGGAATTTAGAAAAATGCTACTGACAAACCTATTTGCAGGACAGGAATAGAGACCCAAACACAGAGAGCAGACTTCTGGGCACAGTGGGGGAAGGAGAGGGTCAGACGAATGGAGAGTAGTATTGAAACACGTACGTACTGTGTGTAGCACAGAGAGCTAACGGGAAGCTGCCATATAGCACAGGAAGTTCAGCCTGGTATTCTGTGACAACCTAGCCAGGTGGGATAGAATGGAGGGGGAAGGGAAGTTCAAGAGGGAGGGGACATGTGTATACCTATGGCTGATTCATGCTGATGTGTGACAGAAACCAACAACACTGTAAAGCAATTATCCTTCAATTAAAAATAAACAATTTTTTAAAAATTTTTTATTATGGCATAAATATACAAAGAAACATGTAAATTTAATTTTTTTCAGTTTTAAGTGACAGGAGAAAAGCTTATAATAATAAGTTTTAGAAATTATGATACAAAACTGCATTTAGAATAAGAGCCCAGAGAGCCATAGAAAAAAAAATATTAAAAGAGAACACACCAAGATGTTAACAGTAGCAAGGCCTGGGTTACAAATTTTGTTTTCATTATTATATATTTCTATGTCCCAATAAATAACATGCATTGCTCTTATAATTAGTAGGAGAGAATGAGTTATGGTGAAAAGGTATAAGTTTGAGCCTGTGCTCTGACCCTCCTCTAAGTGGCCAAAGCATCTTGCACCTCCCATGGTCTATTCACCATGTATGGGAACTTGCCTTATTTTCTATACTAGAGGGCAAAGGCTCTGATATCTGTACACCAGACTTTGACTGAATCTTTCCAAGTGCCAGGGATGCACTCCTTAATATTTGTTGAACATTTTCTCCTAACACCAGGTTGTCTTCATATATTTTCAGATTTAAATCATCATTAAATAAAAATGTTAAAGGGATTAGAAAACAAAGGAAGCACAGAAGTAACTATTAATATTTGAAACAGTTTCAGAGAGTCACATGGTGTTGCTTTACCACTTTGCATTTAGCTGCAGAGGGATTCCTAACCTTTCTCTGAGGAAACGAAGACGGGCAGGACTGTGTAAAGAGTAAGAAGTCTGTAAATAATGTGACAGGACACAATTCTGCTGGTCGTGCTTCCCTCCACACTATGCATTTAGGAAATAATGAGGGCAGGGAAGGTAGCAGAACCCCCTCCTAAAACCAGTTTGGAGAATTAGAGGGTAAGACTTCCGTTAAACCAATTCTCTTGCCTCAGGACCACAGCCGACAAGTTAAGTCCAGAGGGCTGAGTACGAAATCATTTATAGTATCTCAGAGGCTTCCCCGCCAAGTCATGCTTAGATACATGTTCAACTAAACACGACTGATGTAGGCTGAAGGTGAACATACTCACCTAGAACTACATGAGATATGTGAACAGAGTCACCCTTTTGCACTTTCTCACCTCCCTCTCACTTCTCACAGTTGGAACCAAGGGGTTTTATAAAAACAAAGCTAAGTTTTAAAAGTATATTCTACATAAAATTCCTTTTTTTAAATTGAGTTCATTTTCCTAATAATGTCTGTAAAAGAAGAAAATTGTAATCAGTAAACAGAGGCAATCAAGCTGAATTTCTTGTTATCAGACAATTCTAGAGGTAAATCCAAACTTAATAACTTCATCTCAACATTACCATCTTATAATCAAAATATTCTACCCATATATTATTATAGTAACCACTTTTAACTAACAAAGAAATAGAACAAAAAATACACAGAAAAATTGATTAAAGCATTTCCTATTTCAAAGAAAAGTAGAAGCTGTTTGGAGACAACAGTCAAGAGGAGAAGATTTAACAACCAAACGATAAACACTGAATGAATATTGTACACCTAGAGAATCAACATCAGCTAATCAAATCTCACGAACTTCCTTCTGGGGGACAGAGATGCTCTGATTCCCTGTATAGTAAACACAGAGCTGTATAATGGAGTTGAAATGAAATCTAATTTATGAACACTGAGTACACATGGTACTTGGAGAGACAGGGAGTGTTTAATGAAAAATGACAATAATCTTTTCTGGGTTGCCTGGCAACAATCTGACAGGGAAAGGAGGAAGGGGAAGGCTTCACAGGAGAAGGACTGTTCCTAAACAACTTCATGGGACCACGAAGTTTCCAAGTTCTCCATGTGTGGGAAGCCTTTGTTGTTCAGTCGCTAAATCACGTCCAACTCTGTGACCCCATGGGCTGCACTATGCCAGGATTCCCTGTCCCTCACTATCTCCCGGAGTTTGCTCAAATTCATGTCCCTTGAGTCAGTGATGCTATCTAACCATCTCATCCTCTGCCGCCCTCTTCTCCGTTTGCCTTCCATCTTTCCCAGCATCAGGGTCTTTTCCAATGAGTCAGCCCTTCATATCAGGTGGCCAAAGTTTTGGAGCTTCGGCATCAGTCCTTCCAATGAACATTCAGGGTTGATTTATTTTAGGATTGACTGGTTTGAGCTCCTTGCTGTCCCAAGGGACTCTCAAGAGTCTTCTCCAGCACCACAATTTGAAAACACCGATTCTTCAGCGCTGAGCCTTCTTTATGGTCTCACACTCACATCCATATATGACTACTGGAAAAAACCATAGCTTTGTCTATACAGACCTTTGTCAGCAAAGCAATGTCTCTGCTTTTTAACATGCTGTCTACAGTTGTCACAGCTTTCCTTCCAAGGAGCAAGCGTCTTTTGATTCCATGGCTGCAGTGACCATCCGCAGTGATTTTTGGAGCCCAAGAAAATAAAATCTGTCACTGCTTGTACTTTTTCCCCTTCTATTTGCCATGAAGTGATGGGATCGGATTCCTTGATCTTAGTTTTTGAATGCTGAGTTTTAAGCCAGCTTTTTCACTCACCTCTTTCACCCTCATCAAGAGGCTCTTTAGTTCCTCTTTTTTTTTTTCATTTATTTTTATTAGTTGGAGGCTAATTACTTTACAAGATTGTAGTGGTTTTTGTCATACATTGACATGAATCAGCCATGGATTTACATGTATTAGTTCCTCTTTGTTTTCTGCCATTAGAGTGGTATCATCTGCATATATGAGGTGGTTATTTCTCCTGGCAGTGTTGACTTCAGCTTATGATTCATTCAGCCTGGCATTTCCCATGATATATTCTGCATATAAGTTAAATAAACAGGGTGACAATAAATAGCCTTGTCAAGCTCCTTTCCCAATTTGAAACAGTCCGTTGTTCCATGTAAGGTGCTAACTGTTGCTTCTTGACCTGCATACAGGTTTCTCAGGAGATAGGTAAGGTGGTCTGGTATTCCCATCTCTTGAAGAATTTTCCAGTTTGTTGTGATTCACACAGTCAAAGGCTTTGACGTAGTCAATGATGCAGAAGTGGATGTTCTCCTGGAATTCCTTTGCTTGGAATGGATCTCTATGATCCATTGAATGTTGACAATTTGATCTCTGGAAGCCAGAATTTCCCTTAAACAACTGATACCTAAGTTTAGACTGCTTAGCCCTGAAAAAGCTTCCTGTGAAGGTTGCAAGGCTGCTCCACAATCAAGACAGACCACATAATAAACTACAATGTCCAAAGATCTAAATGTTCTATTTTACCTGCTTCCTTTGCCAAGTCAGGGTAGTCTCTTGCATTCTCCACTCCAGGCTTTGTGAACTAGAAATACAGAAGATAAAAAAGGAAACAGTATGGTTACAGTCTCTCACAAGAGAGAACCACAGAAATACATTCATCTAGTCATTTAAACAAAAACAAACTGAGTGCCTATCAGTGTTGCTGTACTCTGATAACAAACAGTTTGTACTGGCAGGGAACTTATTTAACAGAAGACAGGCAATTACGCAACAGGGTCCTCAGTACAGAATGATTTGGGAGAGACAACTACCCAGGCTCAGCAGACTAGAATGGCTTCCCAGAGGAAATGATATTTATTTAAATAAGGTATTTAAGGATTAGTAGGAGCTAGGTAAATGAAAGAAAAGGAAAGTCCACAGCTAAGAAATACAAAAAATAAATAAAAACCTACCCTAAAGCCTATAATAAAAACAGCAATCTGTTACCCTCCACTCACTAGCCTTACTTGCTCCCAAAACATCCATTTTCAATCCTTTTAGTTATTTCTTTTATAAAATGTCACATTTCTAAATATTCTGATACTATTATTTCTTGACTTAACAATTTAAGAAATTATATCATAGTCTCCAATAAGTGACAATGAGAATTAGGTCTCTTAGACCACCTCACATATACTTACATTTCTCCATCCTCCTTATACAGTGGAAACACAAGTTTTAAATTAAACCAGTATATAGTGCTTACCTTATTAGGACAATGTTGCTTATTATTGGACCAGGTTGTATATTATGATTATATGTGCTGCATTGAGCAATTTGTTTTGCTTTGTTTTTCCTGGAGTTAACTGCCTCATTTTCTAATGTTTAAGCAAACATTCTTGTAATCATCGACAAAGATTCTCTCCTTCACCAAATTCTATTCAAACTTCTCTGATTCCTCTTCTCTACTCAAATGTGTATATACTTACTCTTGCAATAGCATACTTTTGATTAAAATCTGCCCTAACACTTTACCTAGTGTCTACACTTATCTTTGACAACAACCTCGCAAACTAAAAAACAGAGCTTTCCCTGCCATTCCACACACTCTTCTAAACATGCTGTCCCTTACCTCAACCCTGCCTCACCCCCAAATTATTATCCTGATCCTTATAATAATTGCTTCCTTGTAGTATTTCGTAGTTCTATCACCCAAGTGTCTTGGACCCTCTATTTCAGCCTTGCCTTTAAAAAAAAATTATGGGTCTTTAAATTCTCTTTTAATTTACAAGTTCCCCTCCACTACATTTTTTTCCTCTCAACACACCTGTTAAAAAACCCAGACTGCTGGGACTGTAGTATCCCACACTCTGGACTTTGTAGATCGCATAATCATGCAGTTCAACCTATTCCTCTATTCTCTGTCCCACAGATTGGCAGCCGGATCCAGAATCTTGCAGGTTCAGTCTATCTCTTTGGCAAAACTATCAGTAGTGGTCTACTCTTTCATCCGGAAACATGATTTTCTCTCTTTGTGTTGTTAGCAGTTCTTAGTACTCAATAATTAGAACCAGTAATTCTCAAAACTTTTCAGTCTCAAGATGGCTTTACATTCCTAAAAACCACTGAAGATGCCAGAACTTTGATCATGAGGATTATAGTTACCAATATTTGCCCTATTAGCAGATATAACAGGACATTTAAAATAACAATTCACTCAAAAAAAAAACCCATTACATGTTAACATAAATAATTTTATTAAAAATTCTATTCCCCCCAAGAAAAACTGATGAGGGGCATTGTTTTGCACTTCAGCAATTCTCTTTAATATCTGGTTTCACCAGAGGCAGGTGAATTCTTACATCTGACACAGCTGATTCATCATTCAACTTCTGGCATTATTTTTTAGGTTGAAGTCTATGAAGCAAATCTGACCTCACACAGATATGTGGTTAGAAAAGGGAGAAGGACTTTAATAGCCTTTTAAGATAATTGTAGATATTCCTTTTTAATACTAGACTAAAATGTAATAAGTGGGAGTTGCTGACAGGCTAAAAGCAATGTTGAATTCAAAAGAATATCAATGAACTTTTCATAATCTTGTTACACTTAATTCCATTAAGATCTTGCCCTTTGAGTACAGTGATAATCTGACTTTTCTCTGGAGTCTTTTAAAATTCTTTTAAGGTATTCCCTGGTGGTCTAGTGGCTGAGAATCTGAGCTTCCAAGGCAGGAGGCCCTGGGTTGATCCCTGGTTGGGGAGCTAGATACAACATGCCACAACTAAAGACCCTGTGTGCTGCAAATAAGACCTGACACAGCCAAATAAATAAATATTTTTAAAAGGAATGGGATTACTACTCTTATAAAAAGATCCCCTAGATTTTCCTTGCCCCTTCTGCCACACATAGCTGTCTATGAAACACACAGCAGGACCTTAAAAGTTTAAAGGCTGTTTTCATAGAAAGAGAACTTCCCATAGGAACCCTCTGTCACAAAGCATATCCATTTAATAGTGTTCAACTAACACTTACTGAGCTCTTCAGGCACAAGGCATTTTCAAAGTGCTAGAGGCATGGCAATTAATTAACCTGGGAGATGGCTATATGCAAAAGAAGAATATAGACATATAAACAGAATTTCAGAATAAAATATAAAGTACTAAGACAGAGGTTAAGTACAGGGTTCTATGGGACAGTCAGGAGAATCAGAACTTCTCCTAGAAGATCTGAATTGATCTTCTAAAAATGCAAGCAAGTTAACCAAGTGAAGACAAATGGTCTTAAGGAGAGAAAACAACAGAAAGCAAGGCAACAGAGGCATAAAAAGGTTTGGGACGAAACTATCAGTACTTGGGCATCACTGGAGCACAGACGTAGTGAGCATGTCAAGAAATGAGATTGTAGCTGCCTCTGGCCTCCTGAGTACCAAGCAGAGTACCATGTGAGAAACGCAAAGCTCGGAGAATGCAGAAAATCTGCCACCTATGCCAAGACGCTGAGCATCACTAAGATTTCTACTCTGCACTTGGAACTGAGAGGGGGTCCAACACGGAGTATTCCTGGAAGTGCAGGGCTGGCGACAGTCACGACCTGCTTTCCTTTTGGGTATGGGGCAAACCTTGCCTCAGTTACAAGTCCACACAACTTAGGATTCCACCCGTATTCTAAGGAGGTGCGGAGTTTGGGTCATCTTGAGGACTTCTTCACAAACTGCGCCCCAGGAAGAAAAGGGAAGAAGGAGGAAAATATAGCCGCAGAACAACGCTGCGACATTATGATTCCGCAGAGACATCAACATCATAACCCATCAACTCTGATGCCTCACAGACAAGGAGCCGAGCTGGGCGGTGGGAAGCTAGTGGCGCCCTCCGGTAGGAAGGGCAGACAGACGGACGGCGTCAAGTCCTGGCACCCCACCCCCAACCCCCGTTTCCCGGTCACTCAAGGCTCCCGCGGCCTCACCCAGGCTGAGCGGAGCAGGGAGCCCACCTCCAGGAACCCACGGCTCTGTTTACCTTGGTCATCCCAACCCCCACCACAAACACCCGGTTCCGGAGCAGAGACTGTGAAGCGGCCAAAGACATTGTTCGAACCACTGTGGGCACAGGCTGGCGCAGCGGACGTAGAGCTTGCAGGTCTGAGGTTGGCGCAGCCTGAAGCCGCAGCTCCCCCGGAGCTCTGGGGTTAGGGACGCGACAGGAGGCGGGCTAGGGGCGGGGCGGGCAGAACTGGCAACGTGCGCGTGCGCGGAGCCACCGGGGACGCGCTCTCGGTGTAGGGAGGAAAGGGCTAGAGTACTTAGTGGACAAAGTTCAAGGCGAGGATTCACCGGTTGGTTGGAAACCCAGTCCCTTTCAGCCCTTGAAAAAGGCTCTATAGCCTAGTACCAGTCCTTCAGGTTTAGGTTCTCTATGCTGAGGGCGATTGTGGCCTGCAGCAAGGCCTGAGATTGAGGGAGAAGACCAGATTCACGAAAGGGTAGCCTGAGGAAAAATTTAGAAATGTTGGGAGTTGATCTGTATCCTATCGGTCGTAGTAGTTAGAAGAGATACACTACGGGTATATGAATGTCTAAAATAAAATCAAAGTCCTGTCACTAGTTGTGTGACTTTTGTGTGCGTGTGTGTGTTTATAATATGGTTTGTTCACTATTTATATATCTTTGGTTTTGCTGGATGTTCCTTGCTTTGCGCACTTTCTCTGGTTATAAGGAGCAGCGGCTAGACTTCCTTGCCCTACGCAGGCTTCTCACTGTGGTGGCTTCTCTTGTTGGGGAGCACAGGCTCTGGATGCCCTGGCTTCAGTAGTTGTGGCGACCTGGGGCTTAATTGTTCAGGGGCTTGTGGGATCTTCCCAGACCGGGGATTTGAGCGAACCCATGTCCCCTGCATTGGCAGACGGATTCTTATCCTCTGTGCCACCAGGAAGGTCCGCTGTGTGACCTTTTGTCTTGTGAGGATTAAGCGAAGTGATAGAAGCAAAGTCTTTAGCACTTGATACAAGGAATATATATGTAGGTATGTTGTGGATATATTATATATTTAGGGGACGGTTTTTATTGGCTGATTCTGAATTTGCAGATTTTCCTACTGATAAAATGTATCTGTAACCCCAAAATCAATACTCCAAGAGATCTGGAGGTGGGGGGAATAAATGTGAGTTGCCGCATGTGTCTGTTCTCAGTTGAGGTTACACAAGACCCTGTCCAGTTCATGCTGTAAACAAATGTGTTTCTCATGATTTAGTGCCATGTTTTTCACATTTTTGTGCTTTTTTGTTGTTGATTTCACCATTTAAAAATCTCCCACCAAAAAAAAAAAAAAATCTCCCGAAACCATGGTGCCTGAAGTACTACCTGGTATACCTAAATACAAGAAGGGTGTGAGGTGCACTGTGAAGAAAATACTGAACTTGGCTCATACATGAGTTAGAGTGTTCTTGGCCCTGAGTTCAAATACGAATAACAAGATGTCTTTAAACAGAAACACATAAAACCAGCTTATTTATTGATCAACTGACAAAATATGTTGTGGGCAGAGACTTGCAGGTGCCTAACTCTGTATTTTCCTTAGGAGCAATTGTTCAGTATTCACTAGTTTGTGTTCACAGCAACTTTTAGAACATAACTAACACCAAAATCTGAGAACTGACTCTGTGTGTGTGTGTGTGTTTGTAAAATTTCTGAGGCCCCTTCCAGTCTTAAGGGTGTATGATAAGAGCCCCTCATAGATCTTCATGGCATAAAGCATCAAATGTTGAAAGGTCACCTACTCCAGTTGTTCTTAGGACTTGTAGAATTTAAGACCAGGTGTTCATTTAGCAGAAACTCCCCTTGGCTGCTAAGGAGTTACTGGGCAGGAGGTGAAAAGACAGAGGACTTGGGGCAAGCTGAGGTGTTTCTGAGACTGACCAAGCTATCTCTGTGGGGACTGAGTATCCTGTCTGGGGGTAGGGGTGGGTGGGTAGGGACATGTTCAAATTAAGGCTGACTGGCCTCAAGGGGGTTGCAAAAGACAGACACACTTTGCCCTGAAGGGAAACTGAACCAAGTGGACTCTAAGTTCAAAGCCCATTTTTATGACTTCAAAACGCCTTTTAGAAATTGCACCTTTATATATACTGTGCCACCCCCCAATAAAAATCACCAAAGATTCAGAACATCCATATTCAGAGCCCACTTTCTACCTAATCAGAGCATCTGGGAGTAAAGCCTAGGCATGAATGTTTAGAGTTTCTCCAGGTGATTCTAAGGAGCCTCCACTAGTGTAGGTAAAGAATTCCTGGGTTAAGAATGGGTCAGCTTAGTAAAATCTTCACCTGATCAGACAAGGGGCAAAGAATCTCCCCTCTTCCTCCCTATCTCTAGAGCCTAGCATAAGACAGGCACTGAAGAGGTCATTAAGTGGAGAGTTGTTTCTTGAAACTCTGATTGACTGATAAAGACAGCATTATGATTTGTGGATAAACAACCCAATAGAGCAAGAAGTCACAGGGTCCAGGTTAATTATCATGCAACAAATGCTCCCTGTCCATTGGATATTGGTTTCAAAATAGGAGCCCATAGAGGTGGAGACGGAATAATGAACACTGCAGTTAATGCTGAAAAGGTTAGAAAGGGACACTTTCCTTTCCAATGTGGAAGACTAGATAATCCAAAAATTCTACCACAGAATATCTAGAAATGCTGCATAAAATACAACAAATGTTCTTTTAAAAGAATACAATATAGGAGAGAGATGTTTTATTTTAATTTTATAGCCCTCTGTACCCTTTGAATGTTTTGATCTTACATGTATATTACTTTTTTGTCATTACTATAGTATGTCTTATTTTAATTTTTGTCAATGTGTTCATTTTCATTTTAACTAATTATTTTTGAGTAGAGAAGACTTAAAACATGAATCAAGATTCATAAATTTTAAAAAGTCAAACTGTAAAATTTCTCTCTCCTACAACTGCGTGCTCAGTCGCTCAGTTATGTCCAACTCTGCAACCCCATGGACTATAGACCACCAGACTCCTCTATCCAGGGAATTTTTCAGGCAAGAATACTGGAGCATGTCATCATTTCCTGCTCCAGGGGATCATCCAAATACAGAGATCAAACCCACTTCTATTGTGTCTCCTGCATTGGCAGGTGGATTCTCTACCACTGCACCACTTGGGAAGCCACACAAGTGTATATATGCACACCTAAATAATGCTGTCCTTCTCTATAACACAAATTTTCGTTTTCTTCACACACTCTGAGAGCTCAGTTGGTAGAGAATCTGCCTGCAATGCAGGAGATCCCAGTTCAATTCCTGGCTTGGGAAGATCCGCTGGAGAAGGGATAGGCTACCCACTCCAGTAGTCTTGGGCTTCCCTTGTGGCTCAGCTAGTAAAGAATCTGCCTGCAATTCAGGAGACCTGGCTTTGATCCCTGGGTTGGGAAGATCCCCTGGAGAAGGAAATGCTATCCACTCCAGTATTCTGGCCTGGAGAATTCCATGGACTGTACAGTCCATGGGGCCGCAGAGTCGGACAGGACTGAGCGACTTTCAATTAATTAAATTAAAAATCACACACTATTCCAATGTTGATTTTTTTCATACAATAGATTTTGAAGCTCACATTAGAGCTTCCTGTGTTTTTTTTCATAACTGCATAGTATTCAATGTATCAGTTCAGTTCAATGGCTCATTCGTGTCTGACTCTTTGCGACCCCATGAAGCACAGCATACCAGGCCTCCCTGTCCATCACCAACTCCCGAAGTCCACCCAAACTCATGTCCATTGAGTCAGTGATGCCATCCAACCATCTCATCCTCTGTTGTCCCCTTCTCCTCCTGCCCTCAATCCCTCCCAGCATCAGGGTCTTTTCCAATGAGTCAGCTCTTCGCATCAGGTGGCCAAACGTTTGGAATTTCAGCTTCAACATCAATCCTTCCAATGAACACCCAGGATTGATCTCCCTTAGGACGGACTTTTTTGGATCTCCTTGCAGTCCAAGGGACTCGCAAGAGTCTTCTCCAACCCCACAGCTCAACAGCATCAATTCTTCGACGCTCAGCTTTCTTTATAGTCCAACTCTCACATCCATACATGACTACTGGAAAAACCACAGCCTTGACTAGACGGACCTTTGTTGACAAAGTAAACCATAATTTATTTAAGCAATCCCTGTTGGATATTAACATGGTTTCTAGTCTTTTGCTATTATAAGCAATTCTGCAATAAATAACTTTGTATATATGATATTTCACACCTGTGTGGGTATATTTGTAGGTTAAATTCTTAAAATTGGAATTTCATAGTAAAAAAATAGAGGTAATATATACCTCTAAACATAAACAGTCAATTGGTCTCCATTAAAGATATTCCTATCATCATTTTCAGAGTGCTCTATATATATCTCTTAATAACTAAAACAGGATTTCCCTGGTGGTCCAGTGGTTAAGAATCCATCTGCCAATGTGGGGGACACAGTTTCAATCCCTGGTCCAGGAAGATTCCACATAGCTTGGGGCAACTAAGCACATGCGCCACAATGACTAAACCACACACCCTAGGGCCCATGCTCTGCAACAAGAGAAGCCATTACAATGAGAAACCCTTGCACCACAACTAGAGAATGCCCATGCACAGCAACAAAGAGTCAAGAAACTAAAATGAATAAATAAAATTAAAATAATAATTTTTATTTCATATTGTAAATTCAGAAGAGATTGAGGGAGTTTGGCTTAAAACTGGCAGGATTTAAAAGCAGGAAAAGAATGTTATTATCTATGGCCATATTATTACTACCACTCTAATCCTACCTCCATAACTCCTTTGCTAAGCTTCCTTGGAATCCCAGAAATAATCATAATGTAGAGAGGAGGCAGAGCACCTTTTTATTTTAAAAACCAGGCACCAGATTTCCTCTTACGAAAAGTTTCTTTACTTAGTGTATTAGTTTGCTAGGGTTGCCATAACAAAGTCACAATCTGGATAATTTAAACAGCAGCAATGTATTTCTGCATGGTTCTGGGGGCTAGAAGTCTAGGATCAAGGTAATGGCAAGGTTCATTCTGTCTGAGGCCTTGGCTTCTCCTAGGCTTCTAAATGGCCATCTTCCCCTTTGTCTTCCCCTATACTCATCTGTGTTTAGAATTTTTTCTTCTTTTAGGGATATCAGTCATTTTTATTAACGGCCAACTCTAATGACCTCATTTTAACTTAATACCTCTTTAAAGACTCTGTCTACAAATACATTGTGAGGTACTGAGGGATAGGACTTCAACACATACATTTGGAGGAACACAATTCAGTCCATAATAGTTAGCCTTAACCTCCTTAAGTATGAGAAGTGAAGTCCCACAATTGTTTCCCAACCTCCTGTAAAAATCTTTCTATGCAGCCTCATGTCTGTGATTATTTAAGGAGTGGGAAAATTGGAGTTGTGTCCAGTAATGTGGAGAAAAGGGACAGGGAGAGATGGCCTGGTGATCCATAACCTGAATTAATTCATTGGAAACAAGCGCAGCTTACAAATAGCCAGAAATGAGATAAATCTCAATTAACCTTGAGGGTCACAGAGCGGAACTATCATGAGGTAATGACAAAGATTCTATCACCAGACTCTAGCCAGGGTCCTCTGAGCCCTCTTCTCTACTAGGCTTCAGCCTCCCCGAAAGTCGTGAGCAGATTTTACAAGGAGAATGAAGGAATAGGGAGGTGGGTGAGCCAGGACAGTGTACAGTCAGGGAAGTGAAAACTTTCAAAATACACAGAGCGGGGTTAGTTCACAGGAAACTATTGTAGGTTTGCTGTCCCTTATGCAAGCTTAGGCTCCCTCAGAGACTGGGAGATAGGAGCCCTACCTTCAGGTGTTGGCTGGAACAAACAGTAGTTTCTTTTGACTGTCTTGAGTTTTCTCAGGCAGGCACTTTAAAAGGGGCTTAGAGTCATCCTAGGGATGTGTCCTTGAGCTGTTAGAAACTATGTTAAGAGTTCAGTTCACGCTGGACATTTCTCTTTTGCAACAGTATATTACTGATTAAAATCTGTTTTCACTACTTTAGCTTTCAGCTTTCTTTATATTTAGCACCTATCACTTTAATTACCTATGCTTTACAGATTAAAATTTTGGCACTTAGAGAGATTGGCAGTCTTGTCCAAAATCACACAGCAGAGCTGGACTTTCTCCTACCCATGTCTTCTGGTCTCCAACAGGCTGAGCGTGTTCCCAAAGGAGGACAGTTTTTGAAGGCCTGGGGCAGAGCAGCGAGCTTTCAGTGGGAGGCAGTGGTGGAAGGCCAAGTGGCACGTTCCCAGAGTGGGCCCCAATGCTGCGCGCCCTGACCAGCACCCTGCGCTTTCCGCGCCCCTGGAGGCCACTTGAGACCCGAAGCTGCTCCTACAACCCAGGGGCTGCAGGCCAGGTGATCCAGGTGTGTGCTCTGGTGGGTCCAGACCAGGGTAAGAGCACTTGCTGTTCTGGTGAGCCTGGGAGGCGGCTGGGGTGAGCTCCACTGGGCTGAAGGAGACAGGTCCAGCAGGCCTGGTGCTGTTGCCAGGCAGGGACCCATGGCCAGTGCTCCCACTACAGGGAGGCAGATTGAAGCTGATCTCAGGGAGAGAAAGCGAGGAGGGGTCCTGAGAGAGATCTTAGTTCCCCACTCAGAAATTGAAACTGGGTGGGTAGCCTGGATGAAAACCAGGAATCCTAGCTACTAGACCACCAGAGAGGAGAGGCCAGAAGGAAAGTGGCCTTGGCCCCATTTGAAAACAAGAATGTTTCAAGGAGGCAAAGACTGTAAAAACAAGTACAAAGCTTATTATTACAGACACAGCACAACATATGGGACGGCACACAGAGAAGCAGTTAGATTTAGGTCAGAAAAGCCAGGCAAAAATACACACCCAGAGAGAAAGGATAACGGGGGCCTCTCTAACGAGGAGGAGGCCAGTAAAGAGGTGAGTTAAATCACTTCAAAAGGACAGCCTTTGGGTGTTTATATATAGCAAATTTTCTTGTTTCTTCACAACTGACTGGTCCTAGACCTCCCCAACGGGTCTGTGCAACACTTTACTAAGATGGATCCCACTGCAGAGACCTATGGGGGTGTGTCCACGCTTACTAAGGGGTGGCACCCCCTCCCTTTTTGACCCCCGATAAGCCTTTCTGCACATGTGTAGACAAGGACATTTTTCTTGACCTCAGGAGTGGTCACCTAACCTCTCTATTCCAGCAGAGCTCATGGACTGACACTAGTTTTGTCCTTGGAGCGTCTGGGTGAGAACAAAACTTCAGTTTTACTCCACTTGACAAACACCAGCTGTCCGGCCCAGGGGCCTGTCTATATCCTACCCCAAAACCAGTAAGGGGGAGGCGGATTGCTCAGTGCGTTTGAGGGGTGGACCCCAAACTTCCTACATCCCAGTAGAGGCTCCCCAGGCCTAAATCCTTTGGTAAGTAACCATCTCGCCCGCCACTCCCACCGTAATTGCGATGGGATTTTACGTCAACATCAGTCCCTTCAGCCCCATATTTGGTTCTCCAGGGCTGTGAGGAAAGAGAGGGGGCTTGTTCAAGGGCAGAACTAGGTGCCAGCAAGCCCACCCCCTACTAGAGCTTCAAGATGTCTGATTTCCTTCCAGGCCAAACTTCCTAGCAAGGTTCCAGTGGACTGGGCAGTCAAACCAATTCCAATTTGGCTTAGGGCACCCAGCCTCCTGGAAAGGAGGAGCAGAAGAGAGGATGTGGTTGGGGGTCGGGGCTGGGGGAGGGGAGAGAGGAGAGGCCCAGAGGAGGGCTTGGCGGCCCCCTGCACAATTGCCCTGCAGCTGCTGGTGGAGTTTGGAGTCCTGCTGACTCAAGAAAAGTTCACAGCAGTCACTGGCAAGAACACCTTGATTGAGCCTTGTCTTGGGTTTTGTTTGGTTGTGTTTTATTTTGTTTTGTCTGTTTGGGTGCGGGGAGCCGGCCTGCTCAAGGCCCAAAAAGGCCCTAGGAAAGCCTTGAAAGAGGCCATTCCCTGTCCCACCACCCCATGATAAAGTAGTAAGACATTTGCTGGGTCTCCTTTCTTCTTCCTTGAGAAAAACATAGTAGTGACCTTCACTTAGCAGTTTATCTTGGAATGCCAAAAACAAGATGTAAGCTTCTGCAATCACTTAAGACAAAGAATTGTATTGATGTGACAAACACCAGATGGCATTTTTTATGAACTATGTTTTCTGCTTGTACTAGTATAAAGGTAGCTGTTTTACTCAATAAAGTTGCTGACTTGCCTAAAGAGCATTCAGCCCTCTCGACCCCATTCTACTTTCAGCTCCTTTTTCTCAGGCTTCCGTGCTGCTGCGGTCGGGACTTGTTCTCATTGCCGGCTGGTCCTGGCATTTGGGGGTAGTGTTATTTGCAAAGGTGGGTGAAGGGCAGTGGTTGGACTTTGCAATCAGCGAGTGGCATTCCCCTGTCCGTTGTGTGTCACCAGCTGGGCAACGTCCTCTTGTCTACTTTCTCCCCAGTTCCAACCCCTCTAACCTTCCCCGCATTTAAAGTAGCACTGTTTGTGCCCAAGTTTTAGCTTACACAGATACAGTTGTTCTAGGCATTTTGTATATCTCCTTTTTTCTTGCTTGATATGAAGTTGAAGAGCTCTTCCTAGTGCCCTAGTGCCCTAGATGCACTTCTGTATGTGCATCCCCCACTTTTGATGGACATGAAGGGGCTTCTGGCATCCCACTACATCGTAACTTGGTGAGAATTCTCTGGCCATGTGGCATGGCTAGCGTTAGACAATATCACCCCTTGCTCTCATGTTCAGGTCATTGCCAAACTGGAAACAGCGTTTGCTTGAAATAGCTATAACTATTCTCCCAGGTTTATGGTCAATAAAACAAGGAGCAGAGAGTTTAAGCAAATTGAACCAGGTCTGATTTTAAAACTTGTGTTCTCGACTATTAATGGTCATCACGATCTTCTAGTAATTCAGTGATTACTAGTAATTCTAGTAAATCACTAGAATTCTAGTAAATCTGTAGCCCACCAGCTTCCTCTGTCCATGGGTTCTCCAGGCAAGAATACTGGAGTGGGTTGCCGTACCCTCCTCCAGGGGATCTTCCCAACCCATGGATTGAATCCAGGTCTCCAGCATTGCAGGCGGATTCTTTACTGTCTGAGCCACAAGGGGAGCCCCTGAACCACAAGGGAAGCTCTTTAAGACTGAGCACCGAAGAATTGTTTCTTTCTAACTGTGGTGCTGGAGAAGGCTCTTGGGAATCCCTTGGACAGCAAAGAGCTCAAAACACTCAATCTTAAAGGAAATCAACCCTGAATATTCATTAGAAGGACTGATGCTGAACCTGAAGCTCCAATACTTCAGCCACCTGATGCGAAGAGCCAACTCACTGGAAAAGACCCTGATCTGGGCAAGATTCAGGGCAGGAGGAGAAGGGGGTGACAGAGGATGAAATGGTTTTATGCCAAGGTCGACCAAAACAACATAAGTTTGAGCAAACTTAGAAGATAGTGAAAGACAGGGAAACCTGGAGTGCTGTAGTCAGTGGGGTCACAAAGGGTCAGAAATGACTGAGCCACTGAACAACCACATTAAGTGTCAGGAGATTAAGCCTCTGCCCTTGCCAGAGGGTATACAGAATGTCCTAGAGGGAAGGAGATAAGGAAACCGAGAAGAGGCAGTGGAGGAGGCATGAGGAGGAGACCCACACACAGGAGACCATCCCACCATCCTCCTTAGAAGTCACTAGTTCTGTCTTCCACTTGGCGTGATAGCACCAGAGCATTGTCACATTGTGCCTGTTGTCTCTGAAAATGAGATTAGCTTGTTAACCACTCCTCACTCTTATGGCTTTTCTCCAGCTCCTTAGCTGAATAGTCAAGGTTCTCCTCCACAACCTGACCATGTCACTTTATCTCCCCTACCATGGGTTTGTTCATTTTAAGCCATCCCACTTAAGTGTTTTCTTCTAACTATGCCCCTGATTTGGGTCCTCTCCTCCCTCTCTACCTTTGTAAACCACTTAGGAATTACACCCTCTTCCCCCACCCTTGTCATTTGACATTCCTTCTATCTGGACTTGTCTTCCTCATCACTTGTTAACTCTGAGAGTGAGGATTGCTAGCTGGGTCCACCTAGAAACTTTGGCACATTCTCTTCTTTTCTGAGCCTCAGTTTCCCCCTCTATATACTAAGGGATTATTAAGGCTTCCCACACAACTCAGTAGTAAAAGAATCTGCCAGTGCAGGAGACACGGGAGACTTGGGTTTGATCCCTGGGTCAGGAAGATCCCCTGGAGAAGGGAATGGCAACGCCACTCCAGTATTCTTGCCTCGAGAATCCCATGGACAGAGGAGCCTTGCAGGCTACCGTCCATAGGGGTTACAAAGAGTCAGACACTACTGAGCAACTGAGCACACATGCCCACACGACCTTCCAGTGGTTACTATCGACTGCCACCCACATCACTGTGTGATCCAGACCATCCGGATAGATGTGACTCTAGGTCTTCTGCTAAGCAAATCAAACCATCACGGGAGTCTAGTAAGAGTAGAGAGGGTGCAATGCAAACCCATCATTATTACTGGGGTCCAGCAAGGACAATGTTCCCAGAATAGGATGACAACGAAGAAGTCAGGGACCACAGCTGAGATCTCTATTTCTGCGGGGACTGGCATGTGGTAGTACAAGTTGAACATTGTCAGGTGAGTGAATGAAAGCCAAAGACACCCTGTCTGGCTCCTTAGGTCTCCCAGCTTAGAGCTCACACCTCATATTGGGTCCTAGACTTTCACCAGCTTCTGTGCATTTTCCCTGCTCTAAGTACCCACAAACTCTGGTTATGCACTTATGGACATTAACTCTTTTATTCTTCATTACAACCTTTTTTGTATTTCTATTTATAGATCAGGAAAGTGAAGGTCAGAAGGATAAAGTAACTTGTCCAGCTCCATGGAGCTGGTATGTGACTGAGCTGTGACTTCAGCCAAGCACCATATTTGCATTCTGCAAGAGGGATCTAGAGATGAAATATGGGAGAAAGTTAGCCAGAGAAAAAGGAAAGACAGAACAGGAAAGTGAAGCGGAAAGAGGAAAGTTCCTGTCAATCCCAGGATGTCATGACTATATTTGTTTTCTACTGCCACATAACAAATTACTACAGACTGTGTTGCTTAAAATAGCGTACATTTATATTTTTTTTTAATAGCGTACATTTATTATCTCATAGTTCCCACAGGTCAGAAGTCCAGGCACAATGTTGCTGGGTTCTCTGCTTCAAAGTGCCCACAAATGCCCTTCTCAGGGTTTTAGCAGGCTGCAATCCTGAAGTTGGCAGGGGCTATGGTCTCTCATTATGGGCTTCAACAGGGAGTTGAAGCCAAGAGAATTCTATACAGACAGACAAGTGTGTTGAAATAGACACGTGTGAACAGACAACTGTGTAGAAACAGGCC